TAAAGACGGAATAAATAACTTGTATTCATTGTTCATTGGTCCATGAACATGTAAATAAAGTGCATTATTTAGGTTGGAGACAACGGTGCTGGTAAGACAACCCTGCTCAAGATCATCATGGGTATCCTCAGTCCTACGAGTGGCAGCAGACATGTTCACCGTAACCTCAAGTTCGGCTACTTCAGCCAACATCACGTAGACCAGCTGGAGATGAACACGACGTCCGTGGAACTACTTCAGACAAGCTTTCCTGGTGAGTAGTGATGTGCTTAGTCTACTAATCATAACCATCGACTAATCATAACAATCGAGCAATCATAACCATCGACTAATCATAACCATCGACCAATCATAACTATCGACAAATCATAAGCATCGACCCATAATCATTGACCAATCATAACCATCGACCAATCATAACCATCAACCAATCATAACCATCGCCAATCATAAGCATCGACCAATCATAACCATCGACCAATCATAACCATCGACTAATCATAACCATCGACCAATCATAACCATCGACCAATCATAACCATCGACCAATCATAACCATCGACCAATCATAACCATCAACCAATTATAACCATCGACGAATCATAACCATCGACCAATCATAACCATTGACCAATCATAACCATCGACTAATCATAACCATCGACCAATCATAACCATCGACCAATCATAACCATTGACCAATCATAACCATTGACCAATCATAAGCATCGACCAATCATAACCATCGACCAATTATAACCATCGACCAATCATAACCATTGACCAATCATAAGCATCGACCAATCATAACCATTAACCAATCATAAGCATCGACCAATCATAACCATTAACCAATCATAAGCATCGACCAATCATAACCATTAACCAATCATAAGCATCGACCAATCATAACCATCGACCAATCATAACCATCGACCAATCATAACCATTAACCAATCATAAGCATCGACCAATCATAACCATTAACCAATCATAACCATCGACCAATCATAACCATTAACCAATCATAACCATCGACCAATCATAAGCATCGACCAATCATAACCATCGACCAATCATAACCATCGACCAATCACAACCCTCGACCAATCACAACCATCGACCAATCATAACCATCGACCAATCATAACCATCGACCAATCATAACCATCGACCAATCATAACAATCGACCAATCATAACCAACGACCAATCATAACCAACGACCAATCATAACCAACGACCAATCATAACCATCGACCAATCATAACCATCGACCAATCTAAACCGGCTCATTAGACTTAAAAAAAAATATCAGCTGACTTATTTATGTTTCTACCTCTCTTTGAGTTTATCACACAACTTTTGCACAATGGCTTTGAATTGTAAAAGTTTGTTGACAATTTTATCGTTCATTGATAACCAGGAATTGCGCTTCACATTTGTAACACATATAATTGCTTCTTTTACACATTTAGTATCTTAATGTATTTTTTGTTAAAAAGAAAGTATTTTAGAGATAAAATATTTTATTACACATCTATTAATTTCAAGTTTTAAAATATTTTTGACTTTTATTTTTCATTGTAAAATTAATCAATAATATATTAATAAACTAGCTGTAACCCGCGGGCTTTGCCCCGTTTAACTTCTTAATTTTCAAGATTATCTCGTTCGCATGGCTCAATCACGTCCTGGTTGAAGTTTGTTCGCTACGCTCACTCACCTTTAGGTTGGAGCTCGTTCGCTACGCTCACTTGCCTTCAGGTTAGCTCGTTCGCTACGCTAACTCACCTTTTGGTTGCAAATTAGCTGTTGTCATAAATGTAAAAGAAATAATAGTGCTGCACCCTGTTGGTAATCCTTGTAACTTTAATGCTATTGAACATCATAGAACAGAACCAACTCGTTTAATTGAAACAGCTGTTAAGATTCAATAATTCCATTTCTCATAAGGTTAACATGGGAAACTCCAGAGCCACTGGGGGGGAGCCCGAAAGGATTTTTGAAATAAGAATATACCTATATGTTAATCGGGAATGTGAGCTATCATCATGCCAAATTTCAGCCCAATCCGACAAGTATTTTTCGCGTTCACTTGTCACAAACATACATCCATACATCCATACATCCATACATCCAAACTTTCTCATTTATAATATTAGTAGGAAGTAGGATGAAAACCACATACCTTTTCAACAAAGAATTTAAGGTTAAGGTATATTCTGAGGAGAAATTTTTAGTTTCTAATGAGTTCTCTGGAAAGATACATAAAGTCAACAAAATGTAGGCTACTAATTAATTAGTCAGGGTGATTTTCCACATGCTGAACCCTTGACCAATTATCTGAGGACGATTATCAATTTAGGATGATAGATTAAACAGTGTTGCTATTAAATATACGGCCATGAAAAACTGTTTCTAATTATTCAATTTGTACTAATTATTCAACAACTAATGGACAGAAAAAATACATCACTAGGGAGTATGAGGTCATTTCATTGGTTAAACCACGGAAAAGCGAGTAATATATTAAATTAGGCCAGTATATGATAAAATATACCTTTCTTGCTTGGAGTTTAATTTACTGAAAGACTATTCACATTTCCTGCATTGCAGCAAACTCCAAGTTTCCTGGCTGCATTTCCATTGGAATCCCTTTGAATTTTCAGGTAAAGAGTATTTTTGGGTCAATCAACTTAATTTAAACCAAACATTTTCAAATTCCAACCGAATTTAACCAAATTTAGAAATGTTAAATGTTGGATTCATATTTTACCCTCCCGGCCGGCTCCTAGGCACTATGTATAACTTTTAGTTTTTTTTTTTTTTATAACCATCATTAGGTACAAGGAAAAGAAACTGTCATATTAATGTACTTTTGATATCCAATTTCTACATGAACCATTTTTCTTTTACTATTGTCCCTCCTGGTCTATTTAGAACATATTGTCACCCTTTCTACTTGAACAATCAATAATTTGAACTTAAGCTGGCTGGTTAATGGTTAATCCTTTTTCTCATTACTCAGATTTACGCTCAAGTCGGACAATAGATCCGAGGTTGGTGATAACTCTTTTATTAATTCCTATTCCTACCTTCCGTAGCCCTATCCTAACCTATAAATTTTAAACTTTTCCATTTGACTCAGTGTCAACTGAGTTTTTCTGGCTCTGAAAATTACAAATTTACATCTAATCAGCTGTTTTACTCCCCAGGCAAGTCAGTAGAGGAGTACAGACGACAGTTGGGTTCCTTCGGCATCTCGGGCGATCTTGCACTACAAACAGTAGCCAGTCTATCGGGAGGACAGAAGTCTCGGGTGGCGTTCGCCAGGATGTGCATGGCCGTACCTAACTTCCTAGTGCTAGACGAGCCTACCAACCATCTCGACATTGAGACAATTGAGGCACTCGGCAAAGCTATCAACAAGTATACGGTAAGAACTCTTTGTTTTAAAAAATCAGTTCGTTTAGGATTGATTGAAAATATCAACTTATATTCTATTGATAAGTTATAAAAACTATACCTCTGGTGATTTGAGAATCAATTTTTAAATTATAAATCGAGTTTGAGATTACAAATTCTTGGAGTTTACTAATGCTAAGTTCATTACGCTTTCATTCATCCCATGCGTTTACATTGGTAAGGCAATATTAAGTAGAAACGTTATTGCAAGGATAAAGGATATTCTTTGTGTGTCGCAGGGAGGAGTGATCCTTGTGTCTCACGACGAGAGGTTGATTCGCATGGTGTGTCGAGAATTGTGGGTTTGCGGGCAAGGCTCTGTACGCAGCGTGGAGGGAGGCTTCGACGAGTACCGCAAGATCGTAGAGAGAGAGCTGGCGGAAGCGGCGAAATGAACTCCCAGGGTACCCGGTGAATTTTTGGTGAGTGTAATTGATGCTAGTAAGTAATGTTAAGTAAAGTGCAAATCCTCTGATTGTCAACCTCAAAAACGAGACTACGATGGTTAACTGATAGACGGATAACAGATATTCCTCTAAGACTGATTCTGGTAAGAAAAAAAAAACATTGTATTCATGTGAATTACATACTTTTACAATAATTCATATATGTATATTTTTTTAAATGTGCGTGAATTAATAGAACTGTCTTGTGAGACAGGTATTGTTCTGTAACAGTTCCATGCTATATTCCATACAATATAGTATAACTTTCTAAACAATAATATTTTTATTCCTTTTTGAAATTGCATAGCCTATGTTAACTGTGGCAAAATGTGGTGGAATTTCATGGAAATTAACAGGCAGTTCCTGGGTTGAAAAGAGACCATTTCTTAGCTTTCTGCACAGCTAGAAAAACAGCTGATTCAATTGTACATCTGAAACAACAGCTGACAAACTGTAATGTTTTTTGTTCTTCATTGTTGTAGAAGGCTGTGATGGGAGGTACAAGGTGGTCGTCCATCTTGGTGATATTACACTGCAATGGAAAGTTTTCTATAACTTATTGTTTTAACTAGCTATCTAAGATTATAACAATTTGTATTTGTATCAATAAATCCATGTACAGAACCCGTAGTTGTGTGAGTTTGTGAGAAATACCTAAATAAAATCATAAGTGTGATAATCCAGGTGTTTGGAAATAAAAAATGTCTTTTATGTGATCTGCTAAAATCAGAGTAACTGTTATATTCTGTTACATTAAATAATTCAATTTAATTAAAATTATGCCACCATATTAGGGGAAGCATAAACCTTGAAAGATCTAGATCCAACCCCACACTGTACATTTTTTGCAAATACATTTTGTATTTGCCTTCATAATATCACTCTAAAAACTCTTTGAGGTTGATTCTATTTGTATCAATACAATAATGTGTAAACCAAAATTTCTTTGTATGAAATATCAAACAATCCTGAGGGGACTGAATGACAAGGGGAAGGGTTTTGGGCAATTTTTGCATCCATATTTTGTCCTTATAAACTAATAAATTCATTGTTCTGTTTTAATATAAGAATAACAAAGCAATATGTATTCATTGTTATGGAATTTTATTTTTTTATTTACATCTTACATAATATCTACAGCATGAATGGTAATGATTTTTTGTTTTCTTCCGGTTACATCTAAGTAAGCCTGTTTGAGTCTTGCGCGTAGCCACATTTCCATCCGGCATCCTGGTGGATACAGGCGTAACCATGACAACACGGCGGGTCACCAGTACACTGTAACCGTTTTGCAATTAGAGTTTAACAACTAACAAATCTTAACTTGAAATGTATAACCATTCTTAATAGTTTTGAAACACCAATCGGACATATCTTAGTGGTAGCTTCTTGCATTGATAAGCCCATATGGTTTTGGTCACCATTTCAAAATAAAAGTATAAAAGTATTTACACAATAACAACAAGAACTTAACTGTCTTTGAATTATTGCAAATACCAGTAGGTGACAAGCATTTGAGGTTATATTTCAATTCTGCCAAATTAAGCCTAGCTTGCCTAGAGTGAAACCAACAAGTCCATTTATTAAAAAAAAACTGATTGAGTAAAAAAATATTTCTTTTTAATTTAGAATTTTTTCCTCAACCGTACAAGTTGGGAAACAAATTTATTTATCGGTAAAAAAGCAGCCTTGCAAGTTTCTTTTTAGAAAGCTTTTCAACAATTAGTTTAAAAAAACTGAATTACCCACATAGATCAAACCATTGTTTTAGTCACAGTTTGTCTTAAACGGTAGAAAATGTGTTAATCAAATCTTAAAGTTTTTTTTTTAGTAGTCCTTGTTTACAAGTATAGTTGTAAGTAAAATAAAATGAAAGGTTGGTAAAAAATAAGGAAAAACAACAGTTAATATTTCTCACATACTTTGTACCTGTCATTTAGAGATTTTCGCTATCAGGAAAGTATATGCATAACAAATAAATGCAAAATAATGAATAGAAAAGGTAAATTTTAGGAATGCATAACAATTCAAATATTTAAAACTTACTGGTTGATTGTGTGCCAAACAGCTCCGTTGGGCTTGAGAAGCCGTAAGCGTCAGCAACAGTAGAAGTACAACCACGGAAGTTCTCATGATGAATAACAACTTAACATAATGCTAATTACTTGTAGTCATTCGAGGATTAACACATTATTAGAAACTCAAGTACCACTCGGGCTTGGATTAAAATGTGAACACATTAATAAGTGTTGGTGGAAATTTTGATGATTAATCGATATTGTAATTTCAACCAAAATTATGTAGAAAACGGTACTTCGGAATTCGCTCCCACTATAAGAAATTAAAACCTGACAATCGGAAGAGAAACATTTTTTTAGTTCCTTAGTGAGGTTTACCTAAGCAAAAACAGACACAACCAACAATTAATATTAAAAAGAGTTATAGAACTACAGAACACACGTTTTGAGGTGGATTTCAGATCTCATAGTATAGGAAAATTACACATAAAACTAAATTTAAGGATTTGAAGAACAACCAAGTAGGAGAAATTATTTTAAATTCATAAATTAAGAAATAATGATCTGACAAAGTGGATGAACGCCAAAAGAAACTAACTATATTGGTCCAACGAAGATTGGAAATAACGACTAACACTCATTTTAGTGTAAAATGTAAAAATAATATGGTGATCAAAGTTAAAGTTTAAAAAAAAGTTTCATGGGACTAAAAAAACAACAGGCTGTAATTTTTTTTCTTTCTTTTTATTCAGCTGATTTGATTTATTCACTTGAGAAGGTATTAGTATTGATTTTTGGCTTTGACTATTGATATAACCATAGACTAACCAATACAAGTAGACTTCTCATCCCATTGCAATGTAAATTTTGAAGCACGTTTTTCATGTCTAGTTCATGTACGGTGACAATTGGCGCTAGTGTCAACGAAATTTTATCCTATTATTTTAGGGTTAATTTCTTGATTTGCACAAGTTATTGTTTATGATTATATCGTATTATTTGGTTAAACGAGGTTTTAAATTACTGTAATAACGGGAAACAAATTCTAAACAAAACATGGCCTCTACATAAACCGTACAGAACTAACAATAAAATTGTCTTCAGCTGTTCCATAAGGATGAGAAATCTAAGGGAGTATGTTTTATCTATGATATAACTAAAGTTGGGACCACGAGAGTCTGCAGTTGGCGGCAACCAATCACAAGACAAGACTAGGGCGACGTTGCCATATCGCTTGTAGACGACACTAATTAAAATACTAAACAATATTTTCAAAGTAGCTGGTATTATTAGATTTGGCAACACTGCACTGTCATCATTGGCTCCTTCAAAGTCACGTGGTAAATAGGCTCCTCCATCAACTGCACTCTCGTGGTCTCGACTGTAGACGTTCCATCCCCATGTTAAAGTTGTCAACAGTGGCCAATGACAATGATAGTACAGATAAATCCACAAGGTGATTGATTACCTGTGAATGTCATAATTGTACATGTGTTTTACCCATAACTTCTACTATAAATAAGTAAAAGTTGGCAAGTGAAAGGATAAAAATCACACAATCGTCAGTATGGTATTAGTTTATTCAGTATTATGTGTACTAACAAATCAGGTATATATGGAATAAAATGTAGAAATCACTGAAATCGAGTAACAATACAATACCAGCTTGAATGTAAAAGTGTCGTCCAATTACGGAACGAAATCTAAGCATAAATCAAAAGCTGAGCCCATTACCACAGTATTCTGAAAAAAAATCAATACTGTCATCAGCTTAACTCTTACCACTATAAAATACTGATTACTCGCAATAGCTCCAAGGTGTAAGGCCCCAAGATTGAAACAATCGAGGTTATCGACAAGTTACATTTTCCAAATAAAAGAATAAATATTTTTACTTCATAACAAAAGGATTCAACGTAACAAAAGCGATTCAGTCTTATTTTTTGTAATTTCCGCGATCTTACTGCAATTACGGTTGAGTCAGCCGTAGTGGTAGACATCGACTTGAACAGCTACGAGAAGCTCTCGGACAACGATTAACGAGAGACAGGGTGGAAGGTCAGCTCGGCTTGTTGGATGACGAAAAGTAAGTTGAGTTGAGAATCGAGACCGATATTCTCTACTCTAAGGAGGTCTGCGCGAGACTGGCGTGGCCTGCGCGCCACAACTGCCGTGCCAGACACTCGCATGGTGTGGGAATCGCATGTGGTGGGCACACCGGCGCGTGTCGTATCCATCTTGACGTGGCAGGTCACATCGACGTGGACATACTTCACGATGGTCGTGCCGTCTTTTTGGCGGATCTGAAATTTTTTGTGAGTTAAAAGGTGTCCAAGTTAAATATTACCAAGTTAATGTGAAATGCTGATTTGATATTGTATTATGGAGCAGTAAGTGAATAACTGTTATATTCATTAATCTTTTAAAAATGCCATTACAATAAAACAATATGGAAAACAAAACTAGTGTGAAATAATAGTAACAAGGAGATAGTTACAAAAGTGAAAAAAAAAACTAGAATAATGCTGCTGTACATAACAAACAAAATTTATGTTCAATCAATACCAAAATAAGTTTAAAGTGTTTGCAATTTAATGATTCTTTATTAAACTCTCTTTCCAATTCAGTTAATCCTGCTATATCAACAACAATACTTAAAACCTAATTACATTATTACATTATCACAATTTTTTTATCAGATGACTAAAGGACACTCACCACTTCTTGTTTCTCCTCGTACTGAGCGGCATCGGCTCTAAACACGTGAGCTTCTCCGAGGTACAGACCTCCGGCCGAGATGTGGAACCTCTGGCCTACGTGGACCGCTCTAATCTCAAAGCCTAAACCATCTGGGTGTGTGTCGCTCCAGAAGTAGTTCTCGGGTTCGTTGAGAACGTCAGGAGCGAAAGTGATGCGTTTTCCGTAACCTGCCCCAACACTGACAAGCCTCAGCGCTCTGCCTTGGAAGAAGTGTTTGCGAGGAGGTCCTGCCATGCGGACGCGGTACTCGAAACCAGGCATGATCCTAGGATCGATGTATGTTCCTGTGGGGAGAGAAAGTTATTAGTGTTAAAATGTATATGGGAAGTAAATTGAGGAAATGTTGTTAATTTAAATATGACATGAAATAGATTATCAAGGAAACCAAAATAATGTACTCGTAATATGCCTTTGTTATAGAGAAATAGAGGGAATTTAACAAGTTGACTTCATTAAACAGAGCTATAGGTAAATTTTTCAGCTGTACTAATATCGCTTTTGAGAAAAGTTACTCCAACGTTCTTTCAATACAAAATACTTGTAAATGGTAATCTGTAGGCTATGTTTTTTTTTCAGAAAGTCAATTTGACACCGTGGGTCAAATGCAGAAGTTGTGCATTTCATATCCAAGGGATATTATTTAGTCAGACCACTTCAAAATATTCACTTAGTAGTTGTTTGACTTCAAAACTGTAATGGTCCATGTACATCAACGGAATCGTTATACTATCCAGGACTATTGATAAGACTGATTAAGTCAACTCACCAATGACAGGCATCTCGTAGGGCTGAAGTCCGAAGACAGTGTATCTCGTAGGAACGTCTCCGATACTGACTCCGTGAACAACAGTGGATCTCTCCTTGTTGTTGATTCCGGGTGTCAGGGTGAAACCCTTCCTTGGGTGGGACCCGATCATCACCCGGGAGACACCCGTCACCCGAGCAACTCCTCCCTTCTTGTCCCGAATAGCTGTGGCAGTTCCGCTCATCTGTAGAATAGATTAGCTTAAGTCATTTAATTTTTTTTTAATGCGAAATACACAATGATTTCAAGTTTGTACTTCTGGATGATTGATTTTTTTGGACTTTGTAACAAATAATGAAGATGAAAAGTATAAGTGGACATCAGCAATTAGAACCATTAATATAATTTTGTACACATATTTTGTGTTTATAAAATTAATGTACAAGGGTTTTTTTCAATATATTATTGAAGTAACTGAAAATTCTTATAGATGATGATTTAGTATAGTTTTGTCTTTCAAAAATAAATCTGGTTAAAGACAATTAATTTTGTCAATAGGAAGCTCAATTTGAAGCCATTGAAGCAAAGTAGCTTTATTTCCACAAACAAAATAAACATGTACTAAAACTAACAAGCTAAAATATAAAAATTTATCTTTTGATGACTATTATGTCTAAAATGACTAGTCTGCTTTCAAGAACAACATATTGTAAAGGAATCTTACTGAAATAAAAACAATTGCTCCTCTTTTAAGAACAATAAACTGTAAAATAAACTTACCGGAACCACAACAGCTCCGCAGTCTTCAAACCACTCCACCTTGACCAACAGCCGAACCCTCACCATCTTCTGGATGGTTCCGTCTTTGAGAACCTTGTGGTCCAACTCTTCTTGGGAGGTCTGCAACAATCAAATCGAAAAATTTATCTCTCCATACTGAAATGTCTCTTTTGTACTTTGTTTTGCAAACTGTCTGGACTTTTAATTCCTTTTGTTACATATGCTTACTAAGAGACACAAAATGTTTATATTTACAGTGTTTTATTTTATGCAAATGTCCAAGAGAAAGTAACAAACTTGGATTAAATCGTCATATTCCTTATCTTTATAAACTTTGGAGATGTTTATGCAATCAGCAAAAATTTACTTAAACTGTGGCTGCATTTTGCAATTTCAAGGTGTCTGATAGTTAAATGTAAATTAATAGAATAATACCAACATTTGTTAAAGAATATACCTCTTATTTTTTACTAAGATGGTTATGTCTTATAGTACGGTATCCTACTAATATTATATATATTTATACAAATATTTTTTGTTATTATTACTTTACCAAGTTACCATATGTTTGAAAACAAAACCAACGAGAATTTGAAATACATCCATTTTGGGATTACTTCAACGAAGTTATTTCCTACAACTATCTTGACCATTTATCAAATAAAGACGAAGTATATCCAATTACCTTGGCATCCACCACTTCCAAGATGGCGACGGCGACGTTGTTCGCATCAAACACAGTGAACTTGTCCCCGAGAGAGATAACCTCGATCTCAAACGCAAACCCGTCGGGTCGAGAGTCGGACCAGAAGTAGTTCTCGTTGTCGTTCAGTTTGCCTTCA